CCTCTTACGTCATCAGTACTTGACCAATAAGGCGCGAGCGCACGTACACACACAACAAACCTACACATACTAATTAATACAAGGTGGAAGGATGGCAAAATGTCAGCAACTAACTTATTGTGTGGTGGGAAGTTGTAGAAAACATGGAGGTGGAAAGTCAGAAAGGCGAAATTGTTCAGTTTATTACGACCAGTACAGTAAACAGACAGCCAGGCAGGCAGGCAGGCACATTTTTCAACTCGATGTGAAAACTGTTATAATCTGACAGACAAAAGAGTGTCATTCTTTGATGGGCACCCCGAAGGTGCTATAAACCGAACTACCCCTGATGGGTTTTATAGCAGGAAGATGGTGACGGCTGTTTAGAAGTGGAGAGTAGCTCAATTGTGCTTTATCGTGTTCTGTTCACTCCCAACCCTTTTATTTTTTAAAGAGTCGGACAATTCATCTCCCACTGCTTCCTGAGAAGAAGTCAAACCCCCTAATAGCATGACAAGAATAGTTTAATAGAATAGAACGGATTAGAATAGCAGTTACCTTGTTCCTATTACCTGTTCTCATATTGCATATTTACTTTTTTTTTATCCTGTATGTATGCCAACGTTATTAGATGGCGTTAGTAGAGATAGTAGGTTCGATAAGTATATCGTACACGTAGAAGTTCATGTTAGCAAATAGTCTTATATCACCACATTTTTATTGTCAATGTCTGTATACAATTAGCCCTCGGGCATGAATTTGCAAGAAACAAATCAATTAACAAAGTTAACGTTAGTTCATTAGTGACACTGAAGAAGAGTGGTGAATGTCACTTGGAAACGCCCGGATATTATCTCCATAACTTATCCAGTAGTAGGAGTTTGAATTTCCTATGAGTATTGTTTACCTGGATGTCTAACATTCATATCATCAACACATGTAAGGCGCTTTCACTGATTCCATCTGAACAGGGCCATAGACAGCATCTGGTGTCACTCAGAAGGGACCGTACACTAGTGCACTATACAAGGAGCCAGGGTTTCCAGCCTTGGAGCGGGAGTGTCGCTCCTTCGCTGTTTCAGCCAGCTCGTCGTCTGTTTCAGCTCGTCGTCTGTTTCAGCAAGCGCGTCGTCTGTTTCAGCTCGTCGTCTGTTTTAGCTCGTCGTCTGTTTCAGCGCGTCGTCTGTTTCAGCTAGCTCGTCGTCTGTTTCAGCTCGTCGTCTGTTTACGCTCGTCGTCTGTTTCAGCTCGTCGTCCGTTTCAGCTAGCTCGTTGTCTGTTTCAGCTCGTCGTCTGTTTCAGCAAGCTCGTCGTCTGTTTCAGCAAGCTCGTCGTCTGTGTATTAGCTCGTCGTCTGTTTCAGCAAGCTCGTCGTCTGTTTCAGCCAGCCCGTTGTCTGTTTAAGCAAGCTCGTCGTCTGTTTCAGCTCGTCGTCTGTTTAAGCTCGTAGTCTGTTTAAGCTTGTCGTCTGTTTTACGTTTTGTTCCTATGGTCTTTCGTACGATAGTGAACAAAACTTGCCATGCACCCGAGTAGATAAAAGATTAGAAACATGGTAGTGACTGCGTGAGTTTTTATCTGGTGAAAACACGACCGTTACCAGTCAGCTCGGTACACAAATAAACAGCCACGGTCTCTCAGTCAGGCGCTCTGGTCTCTGAGGGACCCTGGGACCGGGGGAATGCTGTCGGCCCCTGGCAGGCCTGGCCCCTGGTTTGGTTTGAGAAGGTAATACGAGTGTCCCGTGCCTGGTCCAGGCATGGTCCGAATTAGTTCTGAGTCAGAGCGTGAGGGTAACGGCTTCCACGGCACACTGTTTATCAACGCTCTCGTCCGTTCAAGTTGCCAACTATCGTTGCTTCCTTGTTTCGTCGTACTTATTCGTGGTTTTAGTGAAGATTTAACCGTCGTCAACGCGTCGACCCTACATCAGCCTGAATATAGTTGTAGTGTAAAATTCTGCGGAGAAAGCGAGGAGAAACGCAAGGGATCATGTCGGGTGCCCCGGAAGTTGTCATGTTATCGGATACAGGACAGTGGTGGATTTGGAAGGAGGATGGAAAAGTTGCGTTGGTGAATGACGGAGACGGTTCATGGGAACCATCGAGGATGTTTGGAAGCAAAGACGTTTGGCTAAGGTGAGTAGGATATATTTATGAAATTTTCAAATTTCCAACATGATTTATTCATGGTGGTCGGGTGTTATCCTTCATACTGGAGTATACTGGTAGAAAATCATGTAGAGGTACATCAAGTTTCTTAAACTTTATACAGATTTTAAACTGATTCATTTGCTGATAATGTACATACCCCGTCTATGCCAGGCTAGAGGTAGGTAGCCTGCGGTTAGGTTTACCCTTTTTGTTTACGGCCGGTTATTTGCGGCTGTCTCTACCATGTGGTATACCGGTAGCCAGCGACAATTAGTCTGGGTCCCAGACTGTTTCCAGGGTCTCTGCAAGCCAGTTCCTCGGCTTCAGGGCCAAAACACGCAACATGTGAAGTAAATTAGGTATAGTAATCCGTACGTACGTCTGCGTGTGCACAATTTGAAATGTATAGGGTTTAAAATTTGTAAATATGTAATTTACATAATATTACTGGAGAACTTTAGCCGGGATGCTGACTCTTCTATACTGCTTTCAGGGCCTGTACAGGCCGGCACCTCGATTCTAGGACCAGCATGCCTCTGAAGGAATTCTACAACACGCCCCCCCCCCCTTTATATAAGTTATAATAGAGGTCGGTAAATATCTAGATCGGGGATCCGTTCTGACCAGGGTGTCAGACTAGTAGTGTACGTAGTGACTCAGTGTGACTACAGAGTGCCAAGTTATAAATATCTGTGTTCTTTGGGGAAGTGGGACACTTCCAACCATAGCTGAAGGCAATAGTATGAGAACCACATGGCATTAGCTAGGAAAACAAACAGAATGGGATCAAAAAGAGGTAATGCGTTTAACAGCCCACTATTGAAGGAACACGTTGTTCTCCCACCTACATGGCAGCCGCACACTCATAGAAATCCATATTGTTGATCAGTCTGCAAAGGGATGGGGATCGTTCACCATGTGTACTGTTCAAACTCAACTAGTAAAGTCGCTGTACATAACGGCATTTATCCGGGATGAACTCACTGATTACGTACTAGTAGTTTGTTGTGATGCAAAACTTGGCAAGGCACGTACCTCCTCTTGACCTCTGATTGTCTTTCGCGTTGGGGGGGAGAGCACATGTTTTTCTCTCGCAAGGAAATAATATCACCCTGTGCGCTGTAGTTCCTGTGTGTGATACGAGCCTGTCACCTCGGAGGCTAGTGTTCCAAAACCCACATGATATCTTGCCACCCTAGGGAAACCCAGCTTTTTTTTATTATCTATTTCACGTGGATAATAGTCTGAATGTCTTTTCACGTGAAGCAAGTTACACGGCTAGGTTGGCATATTGATCGTAAAAAGTCCCCTTGTCTTTGTTTTATTCTGAATATTTTTTGACCTAAATATTTGTTTGTTTTATTCATTTTTTGTATCCTTAATGCATCATTCTCAAAATAGTTCTGCTAGGCATTCAAGGATACGTGTAAAACAAGCTCGTTTCCGAAACCTCTCATTGAACACATTGTCGTTCCTCCTGGATCTATATTTCAAAGCGTAACGTCCCTACTAAATTGGCGTTGTGAAAGCACCTCCGTACCCCACCACCCACCCAACATATAATGAAGAGTCCCGAGGCCTTACCGCTTCAGCTCTCACTAGGCCATGTTGATTTGATTATATGCATGACATCCTCATGGAACACCAAAACTGAGCGTGCAAATAAAAAAGCTTGGCCAAAAAAAGTTTCCTTTATTATGAAATCTTCGTGATCATAATGCTTGAACAAATGACTAAACACACAGAACATGGTATGGCGAATAATGCTTTTTTATAGTAGACTCTTCGTTTTCATTTCTTCACATTTTCTTCTTTTCCTGAATTGACTTCGGTATTCTATGGCCTTAGCATCGTTTTCCAACACTTTTTTTGCAACATGCGAAATATATTCTCTCATTTTCTACGAATTACAGTATTTCTTTTAGTTTTTTTTAGAAACCTACGTAAATTCATGCGCGCCTGGATGTCATCCATATAATGACTTGACATGGCCTTAATGATAAACATGGGATTTTTGACTGGCTCAGAATCTACCAATTAACTTGAAATCCAGACGCGAGAAAGAAGTTTTAGTTCACTGACCGCATTGTTTTGCCGATAGTTTTTGCTTGTGTTTCATGGCAAGATAATGAGAACTCTATATATAATCTATCACGTCTAGATCAAACTGGAGTTGGGCCCGCCCACGAAGCTCGCAGTGAGAAACTTTGACACTGAGGCGACTTCTGCGGCTCCTCCGGGTCCAGAACGGCGTTCCTGGAATGTTGGATGAAGGCTATTATGTTACCCCTGGGCCAGGTCCTGTACGTGGAGAGGACCACGGTCGGTATGTCAGAAAACGATGGCCATTTTTTCCCAGATCTCTGTAGTGTGTACCTAGATAAATTTCACGGCTTCTTATTATTAGCTCTTGCAGCTGATTGAACAAAAAAACAAATAGGAAGAAGAATATAGTTATGGTTAATAGATTACATCGTTAAGATTCGACGTCATTCATGATTGTCGAGATTCTTTTGATATTTCAGTTTTTTTTCGAATCGGAGAACTTGCCTCTGCGCAGAGCTTTGTCTCAAAACATTATACATGTAGGCACGGACGTCCGCACAACAATATTGTTTGACCCTACTGTGCTAATTATCTGCTGTAAGAAGAGACCGACACCGGACAGGGTAGGTTTCAGTGTGATTTCTCGTTTTTGCAGAAGGCTCCTCCGGGACCGAAGCAACAACACTTGCACCGGAAGAGGCAGACAGTGGCGTGGCCATGGTCAAGCGGCATTTTGTCGGTAAGTTGTACCGTCTTATTTTACCACCACATTGTAACATGTGAGGATGGGTTTGTGTAATATTTACAGACTTTGATTAAGTGTACTAATTAAGTTATGTTGTATTTTGTTTGTAGGGAAGTTCGAGATACCGGTGGACGGAACGGTCTCCCCGCATTGGAGACGGCTTTGCCGTCACCCCGACCTACACCACGTCAGGGATCTAAAGGCCAAGTTCAAGGCGACACGTGACATGTCGACACGGTACTGGCTGTCCACTTTCTCGGGATCACGCC